AACATTAAAGTTAATGTCATCGTCGATCAACAAATACAAAAAGAAAAAGGGATAAACAACTTACAAATGAGAAAAAACTTCGTTCACCTAATTTCTTTGTCAGTTAATAATACACTAAAGATATGATAGCAAGATATTTAGAGATGTACATACTTATACCGGTGTAAGTATGTGTTAATTGCTATTTTTTTAAATTTTATTCATGTTGCATGTATGAGTTATACAATAAAATATCATATCAAATTATTTAAAAAAATTAACAGAAAACACAAAATTATAACAAAAGAAAATATTTTATGAAAATTAATTCTAAAAATAAATGAAATAAAATAGATATAAAAAATATAATTTAAATCAAACGCATACATAATAAATATTCAAAATAAAATAGATTTTTTTTTAATTTTTACCATAGCACCATATTATTTTTACCTTTTATGTTTTCTTTATCATAGATGTATAATTTGAAGATTTTTTATATTAAGGCTTAAAATTAAAAGTGTAGATACCTTTCCAAGACTTGGACTCCAAGTACTATCAATAATTGAAAATATTATATTGGAGTCTTTGATCAAATATTGTGGCTTGGACTCCGAGACTTGAGGTACACAAAAAAGATTCCACTCAAGTGGACCACGCCTTTCAAATGAATGGCTAATGTAAGCGTATTTATGAATGGTCTTGCATCAGCACCCTCACAATTCACTTCCACTCTTCCTTCTTTCTACTATGGCTTTCCCATCCGACCAGCCTCACTTTGTGTTGTTCCCTTTCATGGCCCAAGGCCACTTGATCCCCATGGTCGACATCGCTCGAATGTTAGCACAACGTGACGTGATCGTCACCGTAATTACAACACCTCATAATGCAAAGCAGAGTCCACAAAACAATCGCTCGAGCCGCCGAATTAGGCCACCCGATCCGTCTAGTGCAGCTCCGATTCCCCGGCAAAGAATTTGGACTGGCAGACGGAGTCGAGCATGTAGACATGATACATACAATAGAGGACATGTCTAAATTCACGAATGCGGCAAACAGTGTGGACTTGGAGGTGGAGAAAGTATTGGAGAAGCTAACGCCACGCCCCAATTGCATCATTTCGGACATATGTCTGTACTATACCCTCAAAGTTGCTACCAAGTTTCAGATTCCAAGGTTATCGTTCCATGGAACTTGTTGCTTCTGTTTTCTCTGTATTTACAACATAAAGTCCTCCAACATTCTTGACAACATAACATCCGATCACGAATGTTTCACGGTGCCAAGCTTGACGGAAAAGGTCGAATTGACTCGATCTCAGTTACCGCTCAATCTCGTCAAATCGTGGAAGGATATTTTTGTTCCTATGGACGAAGCACACGAGGCATCGTATGGGGTTGTCGTAAATAGTTTCAAAGAGCTCGAGCCGTCGTATGTCAAAGAGTACGCAAAGGTAATGAGTACTTGGTGCATCGGTCCAGTTTCTCTGATCCACAAAAACGAGTTAGACAAGGCTGGAAGAGGTAACAAAGCTTCGATCGATGAACAACAATGTTTGAAGTGGCTTGATTCTCAAGAACCCAAATCTGTGATTTATGCTTGCCTTGGAAGCACCAACACGCTCAAGTACCCGGAACTTAAGGAGTTGGGTTTAGGCTTAGAGGCATCGAATAAACCATTCATTTGGGTCCTAAAAGGAAATAATGAAGCATCGAACCAAGTGGCAAAGTGGATAAAGGAGGATGGATTCGAGGAAAGAACCAAAGGAAGAGGGCTTGTGGTAATGGGATGGGCACCACAAGTACTCATTTTGTCACACCCAGCTGTAGGAGGGTTCCTAACACATTGTGGTTGGAATTCAACGATCGAAGGCATTTCTTCTGGCGTCCCACTGTTAACGCTGCCACTCTTTGCAGACCAGTTTACCAACGAGAAACTTGTCGTACAAATGCTGAACATCGGAGTGAGTGTCGGGGCCGATATGCCTACGACCTGGGGAGAAGAGGAATCTGGGTTCAGGTTGAAGAAAGAACATGTTCGAAACGCAATTGACCGATTGATGGATGATGGAAATGAAGGAATGGAGAGAAGAAAACGAGCAAAAGAGTTGGGAGAAAAGGCACACAAAGCTGTTGAAGTGGGGGGATCTTCTTATCTTAGCATGACAAGGTTAATCCAACATATTATCCAACAATCTTCAATGATGCGTTCGGATTTGGTTGCAACCTGACAGGGAAACAAAAACTGAGAAGGACCTTTATAATAAGAAAATCTACATCATGTGCAAATGTGATTGAACCGTTTGATGTATTTTCTGTACTGAATACTGATCTTGCTTATGTTTTTTGTTACATGTGTGTTAGGCTAATATATTTTTAATTTCAAATATAACATAAATAAATTTAATAGTACTGTATTAACAGTTTGATTAAAAAATTTAAATCTAAAATTTTAACCCCTAAACTTACGAAACTAAAAATAAACAAAATAAAATAAAATACATAAAGAATATAAGGACTTCGAGAATAATTTTACTTTTTAAAAAAAAATTATTTTGTTTTGATTGTTTTTTCCCCATCGTTGTCATTATAATTACATAAAAATTAATGACTCCTTATCTAACACAGTTCCTCGATCAAGATTAATCTACTTTAGTAACATGCGTATGATAACACACACCAAGCTTCGAGTTTAGTAAGGTAAAATCATACATAATATATTACTCTCGTACCATATTTCTTAAAAGAAATTAGAAACAACATTAAGGAAACATGCATTGATCTTCTAAACATAAATTCATCACAATTAGGGCCATAGATGAGACAAGTCATATCGTGAATTATTCGAGTTTGATTCAGTCAAAGTTTGATAAATACTCGATTCGAGTTCTTAATGAGCCGAAACGAGTTACTTGATATTCGACTCGAAAAAAATAATATAATTTTTAAAAAAATTAAAAAATTAATAATATTAATGTTTATGTGATGATTTTTTTTAAAAAAAAAATGCATTATAAGATTTTTATGTACTTAAGTTTCATGTTTAAATTCGAGTTTGAGCTTCAACCGAGTTAAGTTTAAGATTTTTTTATTTTAAGCCTTTTCGAACTTCAATTCATGGTTTCAAGTTCGATTCGAGCTTGAAAGTTTTAGGCTCCATTTTAAAGTTTTCGAGTTGAGTTGAACTCAATAATACTCGAAATCGACTCGGTTCGTTTATAGCCCTAATCACAACATTGTATTTGTATATCACTTCCTCGTTATAGATTTATTTTAATAGACATATAGATTTAGAACTTTTTCGATGTCCGATGGTCGAAAATTTGTCTTCTAACATGTTTATTTTAGTAGCTTATATTTTGGGGATCCGGTTAATTTTATTTTATGTGTTGGAATGAAGAATAATTGATTTTGGGTAAAGGTTTAGTGAGTAAAGTGGAGAAAGGAAGAATTTGAAAATTTTAATAAAAAGGTGAAGCTTAAGCGCCAATAAGAGAAAAGTTAAATTGACTAATGATTAATTAGATCATGATAAAGTGTAAGTAGTGGAGAGATTGATGGCTTAAGTCAGAATTATACATTTTAAATTTTATGAATAAAGTGCTAACTTGTCATTTCATTCATTTTAGTCTAATTAGGTTATTTCGTTAATTTTCTTTAATTTTTGCTTAAATTAAGCAAACCCAAAGTTAAAGAAACTTCAACTGGTTTTATAAGAGTACACAGGAAGGCTTGGAAGCGATTTCACTCGTTTCCTACCTCAAGAAATCACCATTCTTGTCGTTTGGAGCTTTAAACCTTAAAACCTCTTTAAAAATTGAAAACATGTGAAACTCTTGTTCTATTATCTTCCCTTATTAGTGTTAATTTCAAGTTCTGGGTAGGTTGATTATGAACCCTAAATGGGATCCGAGTTAAGGTTCATGATAAAATTAAAGGGTTTTATTTAAATTGATTTTATGTGATGTTAGATTTGTGTTAATTGAGTGTTCTTTTACATTTTTAGAGTCGAGAGGGTTGGTAAAAACTAGCACTTCAAAAAGAAAAGTTAAATTTTCTCGAAATAAATAATTGAGCTACTTAGGTTAAGGCGGGTGTAACTTTTTTGTGTGCTTTTATGTGTTTTCTGTCATCATCTTGTAGGCGATCTCTATGTGCTTTAGTGGTTCATTTAGAGCCTCAAATGATGGTAATTTGTGTAATGATAAGATTGATAAGTTTTGTAGTTGTCATTGTGATTAAAATGAACTGTGTGAAACCATGTGTATATTTGATGTCCGAGAGATGTTTCAGACTTATACCAACCCTATGAGGCCATGTATACGTGTATTGGGAGCTACGATCTCAAATGTGAAATTGGTTTTGTGGTTTGTTCGGTTTGATCTTGTGGTTTTTAACTATTCACCATTTTTTTAAACTCAACATCAAAAAAAAAAAACTTCAAATTTAAATAGAGTTTATTTATTTAAATTTATCATATAATAAACTCATAATGGATTGGTTTTGGAACATTAATTTTTTTATTCAGTTTGATTTGGAATAAACGATTTTTATATGTAAAAATTGAAATGAAACCAAATTATAAAATAAATCACATAATATAGTTTAAATCAATTTTTCAATTTTTCTGATTTTCATGTTGATCCTAGTTTACTCTTTATTTTAGACATAATGTAAAAAGTCCATTAATATTTGATAGAATAATCATTTTGTCTATTATTTTTTTGTGACAATTTTTGCCCTTAACGTTTAATTTTAGATTAAAAATGGGTCTATCTTAGAGCGCTAATCGTGTGTTACCTAATAATTTTCACTTATAAAGGGAGTTTTTTGCCCCAAAGTGAAACGTTAGAGCCAAAATACTCCCAAAAAATAGGGGGCAAAATGACTATTTCGATAAATATTGGGGGCTATTTTTGGCATTATGCTTTTATTTTAACACCCCCTTATATTCTCCTTTTTTTTTTTTTTGAAAAGAACGAACTGAATTTCACTAAAAATAATAATTTATCCATTAAAAAAGTAGTTTCAGTTTGCCCAAGCCCAACAACTAGGGCTGAGTCACTTGTGTTGTTCCCATCTCTCAACGGCAAACGCAACTCTCTCTGGTCTCTCTGCTCCCCGCGGTGTGACCGTCGTGTCGCTGCCGTCATCTGTCATCCACCTCCGCATAATCTCTTTAAATAACTAAACTCTTAAAGTATTTGTTTATATACAACAATAATTATCAGTTGATATTGATAGATTCATTAGGAGTTGAAATTAGTTGGTTATGGATTCTCAGCTACTACGATTTAACCCAGCCACTTATCTTCCTATTAAACCATTTCGCTCTCCCCATTCCTCTTCCTTCACTGCACCTAATTTCATCCGCCTTTCATCACTTTCTTTTCGTTCAGGTACTTCCTTTTTCGAATTTCTTAATTGCTATATGAAAATGATTGCTGTTTGTATTCCCGTTCCCTTTAATGATTATACATCCTTGATTTTCCAATTCTCTGGTTTGTTCATTTCAGCCAAGCATTTGGTTCATTAGTTGTATGAATCCATTGCTCAAAACCTGGGTTTGAATCTCATTTGCTATAAAATGAGACTACTTGTTTGTTCATCCATTTGGCTCAATATTTTGTTGCATGACTTCCACGCTCAAAACCGGGATTTGAATTTCATTTTTCCGTAAATTTGTTTTGCTTTGTGCTTGATAAAGCAGGTTACCTGTTCACCAATACATTCACCCAGTTTATTAAACTACGAGAAACATGTCTCTTTTTCTATCTTTCACTGTTACAGGATTGTCTTGTAAGAGGATAAGGTGTGCAATGAAGTCTTATAAGTTGTCAGAACTTAGCAAGGCTGAGGTAGAAAGCTTGAAGGCTCGTCCTCGCATAGATTTTTCTTCCATATTCGGCATAGTGGGTCTATCTCATCTTTTCCTTATTTCTTATGCATTATCTTTGTTCAGTTCCTGCTGGTTGTAAATTTTCATATATGGTGGTATGCTTCTTAGGTCCAACCAATAGTCGATGATGTCCGCAGCAGAGGTGACGCTGCAGTTAGAGTGTAGGTGTTACTTTCAATCTTTACATACGTTTATTTTCCTGTAAGCATTTTGTGTTTTAATGCATTTGCAAGTGTATTTCTTTTGCAGTTATACTGAAAAGTTCGATAAAGTGAAACTACAGAAAATTGTTGAGAATGTCTCAGAGCTTCCCTATCCTGAGGTACGTTTTTTTTTTAACATTTATTCTCCTTGAAATCTCATTAAACCTATAGCTTGTTTGTTGAGCTTGTTGTGCCCATTGCTTTTCTTGCTATGCTTCCATGTCTCAGCTTGACCCAACTATTAAAGAGGCATTTGATGTGGCACATGACAATATATATGCATTTCATCTTGCCCAAAAGTCAGCAGAGAGAAGTGTTGAGAATATGAAAGTAAGTTAATATTACTGTTTTGTTGTTGCATACTTCCGTATATTGTTAACATAATGAACATCTTAGTACTCTGATAGGGTGTTAGATGCAAAAGGGTTGCTAGGAGTATTGGTTCCGTTGGTCTTTATGTACCAGGAGGAACTGCTGTTTTGCCTTCAACTGCTCTAATGCTTGCTGTTGTAAGTTTATTAAATTAATTACATTAGTTTTATCTCTAGTTTTATTTCTTTTTAACAGTAAATCAAGATTAGCTTGATTTGACATTTGGCTTATTCCTTGCTCCAGCCTGCACAGATTGCTGGATGCAAAACTGTTGTTCTTGCAACTCCCCCAGGCCAAGATGGCAGCATATGTAAGGTATTTGCTTTTCTTTTTTCTTGAATAAACAAATAATGAGAGAAAGCTGATCAGTATTTTGCCACAGGAAGTATTGTACTGTGCCAAGAAGGCCGGTGTGACTCACATTCTTAAAGCCGGTGGAGCTCAGGTGTGAGAACATTGAATATATGATAAAAAAAATCAGCATTTGAACCATTTTACATTCCTATTAGATCTCAACTCTTCATTGTTTTTTTTTCTTTTTAATTTAAACTGAATTTTACAGGCTATTTCTGCCATGGCCTGGGGCACAGAATCTTGCCCAAAGGTAAGGATTCTGCGTCAAGTTTTTCTCAGTTATTGAGTTTTAGTACCAATAGATATTTATGGCAATTTTTTGAAGACACACGAGTAATGATTTTTCATGTGTTTACTGCTATGTTACCTGTACTTTGGTGTAAGTGTTGGACCCGGGTATGCATCCGACATGAGTCTGGCTAGATTTTTCTAATTTTTTTCTATGTATTTGGAGGATCCTTAGGGGTCACATCCCCAAATCCAAGTGTCAGACATGGATACTTAATGAAACTGAAGAGTCCAGGCAGCATAGTTTTGCTTTCAGCAATTTAATCAGAAACTAATCATCTTTTCTTTTGAGCTTAACTGATTAATCAGATTCTTTTATATGCTCTTATTAAGATATCTTTAATCTGAATTTTATACTTGGGTTTCTCCTTGCTGAAATTGTGTTTTACATATTTATGTCATGTCAAGTGGCTGGGGAACTGACAAGAAATCTTCAGTTATTTTTAAATAGTGTAATTTAATTAATTGTAAAAAATGAAAATCTTCAGCAGGACTTGTCCTCCACTGTCGTTTTCCTTTCCATAACTTTCTTTAGGTGCTTGTGTGTGGATAATAACATGCTGTTGTAAATAAGATAAGTAGCATGGAAAATATTGATTTTTATTTATGCTGAAATGCTATATCTTTAGAAAATTGTAATAATGATCTGAAAGCTACTTGATAAGTTGTAAACGATCAGAAAGCTATGCAACATGTTTAGGGTTCACTTTGTTTCATTTGAGCATGTATACTAAACTAAGAGGAGTCTATTATACCCTATGTCAAAGTAATTCCTCAACTGTTGCTTAGTTGTTCTAGACTTTGAATTTGATTAGTTGTTGAAGGCATGAAAATTCAGTCAAGATAGTATATATTTTAGGGAGGAAGATGACTATCGATTTATCTTGACCACACTTTTTCAGCTTTTTATTGTTGTTAAGGATTTGCCTTTATTGCAGGTTGAGAAAATTTTTGGACCTGGAAATCAGTATGTAACAGCTGCCAAAATGACACTCCAAGTAAGTTCAATTTGCTTGCTTGCAGAATTCTTTGATCCGATATAAGAAAGCTGTCGAAACACATGTTCTACTTCTCGATCTGATTCTACCTTTGATTCCTATTCCCTCACAGAATAGTGAGGCTATGATTTCAATTGACATGCCAGCTGGCCCTTCAGAAGTTTTGGTTATTGCCGATGAGCATGCCAATCCTGTACATATAGCTGCAGATTTGCTATCCAGGTTTTCTCATGCTTTTTAGTTCTTATTAACCACTATTTTACTTAAATCTTAAAGTGTTGCGATGTTTGTTACTGTATTGGTGAGACAATCTCAAGTTATCTGTTGCTTCATGAAATAGTCCATCAGGATGACTTTATAGACTTATATCTGTAATGGTATTTCCTTTTGGCTTTTATCATCAACTAGTATTTCTTTGTGTAAATCAAGATTCTAGAACCTCACAAGTTAAAGTCCATTGTGTGCATTTATGATCTCAAGTCTTGTTATTGCTATTAATATACAATTTTTGGCTTGTAAATCACTATCTATAGCAAAGAACTCTTTTTTGTCTCCATGTTTGGGAGATAATAGTTATTTATATGAACTGTGGTTAAGCTTATTTAACCAGAAGAGTATATTGGGCCGAAGTGGCCAGAGATCGGAAACCTTTAATCTGGAAACTAAATATTACTGACTAGTAGATAATTAACTATTTTATGGCAAGATCATTTATGGTCTTTGCTGCTTGGACTTAGGAGAGTGTTGCACATGAGAATCTTTCTCCATTTGTGTCAAACCTTTTTTAAGTTTTTCCCTTATATTTGGAGAGTTAAGCCCCATAACCTTCTTTGACTAAGTACTTTAGGAAAAAATGAAGCGTCAGAGCAACATAATGACTTTTTTAAGTTTTCGTAGACTTTTTGCCTATGATGTAATTTTCTATGATCTTCCAAGTCAAATGTGACTGTTTTAGATGTAGTCCTTTTTCTTTCCTAAATTTCATTTTGAAGTGGATGATTATTTGTGAAACCAAAACTTGCAAAGTAGATTATTCAATCCCTCATCTTGTGATACCCGGGTTAGATGCCTCTTTTTCTTCCATTGTTGTTAGAAAAGATTATGTACTGATTGATTAGTAAAGGATGGTCTTTATAATTAATTTGTTGCTTTTATGGCCTCAAGGGATGTTTCACATTTTAAACTTGGGATTTTTATTTTACAACCATCAGATTTTAGGTAGGATTAGGAGAATGGAACATGGTTGGTTTCCTTTCTGCAACACCAGATCCAGTTTACCTTAATTTGTACACACAACGTAAAAAAAATTGCTTCTATTGGACATGATGTAGTGACAACAACTGCTATTTTCAGGCTGAGCATGGCCCTGATAGTCAAGTTGTTCTTGTAATAGCTGGTGAGGGTGTAGATCTTAAAGCTATTGAGGAGGAAATTAGTAAACAGTGCCAAAGCCTTCCAAGGGGAGATTTTGCTTCTAAAGCACTAGGCCATAGTTTCACTGTTTTTGCTCGAGATGTGGTTGAGGTTAGTTCTCATTTCTCTGTCTTGGTGTTCATCTATTTTGAGCCCAACTTGCATAAAATTACTTAAGATGGTAAAACTTTATCATGTTTGTAAGCACACGCTTTTATTACATCAAAACTGGGCTCATGTTTACCCCTGCCTTCACTCAAAAAGTATAAAAGTTATGGTTTATTTCTTATTTTGGGTTTTTTTTCTTATTTTGTTCTTGCAATAATACAATTCAAGCATATAAAATATCTTGTATTCCACTTTCTGGGATTTCTCATGATCATCTTCTTTCTAGGCAATCTCCTTCTCAAATCTCTATGCACCCGAGCACCTTATCATGAACGTGAAGGATGCAGAAAAATGGGAGGGTTTTGTTGAGAACGCAGGTATTTTTTATTTTGTTTTTATTACTTTATAATACTATTTTTATTATTGTCATAATAGCCATTGTGATTGCATATCTAACTTCCCATGTCACTATAACATTATTTTGGTCAGACATTTGAACTTGTTTTACATACAAGTCCACCTGGTTTCGCATTTGCGTCTTTAAAATTTTCCTACTTGCTGGTTTATACAGTCTTTGTTTAATTGGTTTAAGATCCAAGTAGGTAACATTCAATACATATATGTATTCTCATGCTTTAATCAGGAATGTTATTTAGATTTTTCTGAAAGCTGATGATAGCGATTCTTAATGTAAAATACCAACACTCTCGTGCTTTGATCTGGGTCTGCATGCGTTATAACTCCCTACCATCATCTTTAGCTAAATAATACACATTGTTAAAATTGACCAATAAACATACATGACAAGTTACATTAGTTAGGCCTGCTACTAATTTAGTTACATTTGTTGGTCGATGAGTAATGTAAGCCTACATGACAAGTTTTCTTCTGCAATTGTTAAATCTCTTTGGCACTGTTCCTGCAGGTTCGGTGTTCCTAGGGCCGTGGACGCCAGAGAGTGTGGGAGACTATGCAAGCGGGACCAACCATGTTCTTCCAACATATGGCTATGCAAGGATGTACGGTGGGGTGTCGCTCGACTCATTCCTTAAGTACATGACCATTCAATCTCTGACAGAGGAAGGCCTAAGAAACCTGGGACCATACGTGGCCACCATGGCAGAAGTCGAAGGGCTGGATGCTCATAAACGAGCGGTGACCCTCAGACTCAAAGACATTGAAGCCAAGCATGCTTCTACTGTGAGATGATGTAAGTCAATCATATTATCTTGTATGATAGTTCCAAAGTTTGACACTGCCCTTGAGTTTGATTATTGTACTGTAACATATAATCCACTTTCACTGCTACGCAAGTGGTCTAGAGATTCGGGGTCAGTTTAATTTTTCCATTTCACTGCATAATACCAAATAAAGCCAATGAATGGGCTACATTTCTTCTGAAAACTATCAGCTTATACATGTCCAAATAAACCAACCATTATCGGAAGTAGGGGTTAGCATTCAACGAGTCAAATCGAGTTGAAAAGATCAATTTTTTGAGTCAAGTTTAGTTTTACTCACTCCTAATAAGGAGTCCATTTGATAAGAATACTTGCTTTCTAGATTGTTATATTCATAATCCCTCCATTCTTTATTCCACTTTCATTAATTCTTTTTGTTGGAAGCTATAAAATACTTTATAATTTATTCATAAACATATTTTTTAAATTATTCATAATTTATAATATATATATATATATATATATATATATATATATATATATATATATATATTTTACAAAGATAATTTTAAATGGTAAACCAAGCAAAATAAACATAAATCAGAGTTCTCAAGCTCTACTCATAATTTTATACTGTCGCAGTATTCCACTCAACACAAGCATACATCATTTCTTATCAAGCTTTAAAAGCAAATACAAAGTCACGAAAAGAACCCATTCCAAATAAAAAGACACAACATCCGTGTGTCACGGGCTACACTCGATCGAACAAGAAGTAAAGTCATGTGCCTAAGAAAGTCTGTTTGAACGATAAGTTTTATCGCTCCTAGGGTCCTTGTTAAGGTCAGGTCTTGTCTAACTCATCATAGTTCCGCAAGCGCACTACATGTTATTTCAATTTTCATCGTGAAACCTCCTTGGCCCTAGCCGATCGCCATTTTCGTCTCGAATTAACCCTCTTGCCATTGCTAGCCCGGTGGACGGTCTCCAAGCTCTATCTGTATTTAGAATCCACATGCCTTCCGGTGGTCTTTTCCACCTTATCCAATGTCTTTAGTTACTACTCTCTCTTTGTGACTTTTCTTTTGCTTTTTGGAACCCCCGGGCTAGTTTCTTTCCACTTTGTTATTAAAAACCAGGTCGTTTTTATTTCTCCATAGGTTCCCAACGATGGTCTAGAACAACGTGCCCTAGCACGTCCCATCCTTGTAGCTTTTTCCCGCTCGGTAGTTTTTCCTTATTGTGGAAAAATCAAACAAGTTGTACAATTGATTTAGGTGCACATGCAATTATTCAATTGCTTTCGGTGGCAGCATTAATTTTGTTAAAATTAGGTGCACCAATGATTGAAAATTAAATGGGCAAAATATAAATTTTAATCATTAAAATTTATGGTATTTACAAAATTAAGTCCTTAAGATTTAGCTATAAATACCTTATCTCATTTAGCTTCAAAACTATCCCAAATCATTCTAGTTTTCTTTAAATACTAGAGAGAATTTAGAGAGTTTCTTGATAGTTGTTTTCTCCTTTTTATCGAGAGAGAATTATCATTGTTTTCTCCTTGGTAGATCGAGAGAGGTTGTAATTCCTATTTTCTCATAGTGAAATTCTTCTACTGTTGCCCGTGGTTTTTACCCTAAATTTTTAGGGGTTTTCCACGTAAATTTTGTCTCTTTTATCTTCATTTTTATTTTCTCAAATTATCAGTTGCGATTTTACTCTATCCGATAGTCGTCTTCCGCAACAATTGGTATCAGAGTCAGATTTAAGTGTGTAATATCTGCTTATTGTCTTTGTGGTTGCCACCAAAAGGTGGATCCTCCAACATAAGAAAGTAAGAAGTTATTACCCATTATTTGAAGGTTCCAGATAACTATTCACGATAGTGAAATAGTGGGAGCTATCCGTAAAAGAAGATATGACAACGAAATTTGATATTGAAAAGTTCAATGGGAGAAATTTCTCATTGTGGAAATTGAAGATGAAGGCCATCCTGAGGAAAGACGGTTGTCTAGCAAGTATCAGTAAAAGGCCAGTGGATTTCACAGATGACAACAAATGGATTGAAATGGACGGGAATGCTATGGCAAACTTTCATCTAGCATTAGCAGATGAAGTATTGTCAAGCATCGAGGAGAAGAAGACAACTAAGGAGATATGGATCTCTCACCAAATTGTACAAGGCCACATCGCTGCACAATAAAATTTTCCTTAAGAGAAAATTATACACTCTCCGTATGCCATAATCTACTTCAGTGACGGAGCACTTAAATACACTGAATACTTTATTTTCTCAGCTTACATCCTTAAGTTGTAAAATAGGAGAACAAGAACGTGCTGAACTTCTACTTCAAAGTCTACCGGATTCGTATGATCAACTCATCATCAACTTGACAAACAATAATGTCACTAGTCTAGTCTTTGATGATGTTGCAGCTGCTGTTCTACAAGAAGAAAAGCGGCGCAAGAACAAGGAAGACAGACAAGTAAATCTGCAACAAGCAGAAGCGTTGACAATGATGAGAGGAAGATCAACAGAACGTGGCCAATACAACAGTCAAAAACATGGTAGATCGAAGTCGAGGAGCAAGAAGAATTTAAAGTGTTACAACTGTAGAAAGAAGGGTCATTTGAAGAAGGATTGTTGGAGTCTAAATAAAAACTTCAATCCACAAGGCAATACCGCAAACACTTCAGATGATGGAGATGCTCTATGCTGTGAAGCGTAAACCACCGTGGAAGGAAGAAAACGATTTGCAGATATATGGCTCATTGATTCGGGAGAAACATATCACATGACCTCAAGAAGAGAATGGTTTCATCATTATGAACCTGTCTCAGGAGGATCTGTTTATAGTTGCAATGATCATGCCTTAGAGATCGTTGGCGTGGGAACCATCAAATTAAAGATATATGACGGAACAATTAAAGTTGTTCGAGATGTGCTGCACGTGAAAGGCCTGAAGAAAAATTTATTATCCTACGGATTGTTGGATAATAATGCAAGCAAGATTGAAACACGGAAAGGAATCATGAAGGTGTTCCGTGGAGCGCTTGTGGTACTGAAAGACGAAAAAATAGCTGCAAACTTGTACATGCTGAAGGGAGAGACTTTGGTAGAAGCATAAGCCTATGTTGCCTCATGTAGTTCAGATTCGGCAATGCTATGGCATCAGAAACTTGGACACATGTCAGAACAAGGAATGAAAGTCCTTGTGGAGCAAAAGCTACTTCCAGGCTTAACAAATGTATCACTTCCTTTGTGTGAGCATTGCATAACAAGTAAGCAGCACCGGTTGAAATTCAACACATCAAATTCTAGAGGCAAAAGTGTTCTAGAATTGGTTCACTCTGACGTATGGCAAGCACCAGTAATGTCCCTAGGTGGAGCAAAATACTTTGTCTCATTTATTGATGACTACTCGAGGAGATGTTGGGTGCACCCTATTAAGAAGAAATCAGACGTGTTTTCAACTTTCAAAAACTTCAAAGCGCGGGTGGAACTTGATTCTGGAAATAAGATCAAGTGTTTCAGAACAGATAATGGAGGAGAATACACAAGAGAAGAATTTGATGACTTTTACAAGAAAGAAGGCATCAAAAGACAGTTCACAGTGGCGAACACTCCTCAACAAAATGGAGTGGCAGAGCGAATGAACAGAACCTTGTTAGAAAGAACAAGAGCAATGATGAGGGATGCAGGCCTAGAAAAATCATTATGGGCAGAAGCAGTCAATACCGCCTGTTATTTGGTGAATCGAGCTCCATCAACTGCAATAGAGCTGAAGACACCAATGGAGACGTGGACTGAAAAACCAGCTGATTATTTAAACCTCCATATATTTGGAAGTATAGTGTACGTGATGTACAACTCCCAAGAAATTTCAAAGTTGGATCCAAAATCCAGGAAATGCAAATTCTTGGGGTATGCTGATGGAGTAAAGGGGAATCACTTGTGGGATCCCACTGCCTGCAAAATGATCATTAGCAGGGATGTTATCTTTGTAGAAGATAAACTACAAAGAAAAGAAGATGATGATAGCGCTGAAAAGTCAGAGACTACTCAGATACATGTGGAAAAAGAGTTTGAAGAAGGAGATTCTTCTGAAGCAGAACCAGTACATGATGAACAATATCCAGAGAGTTCTGAAGCTCCAACAACTCGTTAATCAGATCGTGTGAGAAGACTTCCCAATTGGCACTCAGATTATGTTATAGAAGGAAATGTTGCATACTGTCTTTTAACATAGGACGGTGAGCCATCAACATATCAGGAGGCAATAAACAGCTCAGATGCTTCACTGTGGATGATGGCGATGCAAGAAGAAATCGAAGCCCTTCATAAAAATAATAAATGGGACCTTGTGTCACTACCACAAGGAAGGAAGCCAATTGGTAACAAATGGGTTTTCAAAATCAAGTGAAATGGTGACGATCAAGTGGAGAGGTATCGTGCAAGACTGGTGGTCAAAGGATATGCTCAGAAAGAAGGTATTGATTTCAATGAAATTTTTTCTCCTGTGGTTCGACTAACAACAGTTTGAGTAGTCTTGGCAATGTGTGCTACATTGAATTTACATCTGGAACAGCTAGATGTTAAAACAACTTTTCTTCATGGAAATCTTGAAGAAGAGATTTATATGCTCCAGCCTGAAGGTTTTGAAGAAGACGAAAAGAAGAACTTGGTTTGCAGGTTGAACAAATCTCTGTACGGTCTAAAGCAGGCGCCGAGGTGTTGGTATAAGAGATTTGATTCCTTCATTATGTGCCTTGGATACAACAGACTTAATGCAGACCCTTGTGCTTATTTCAAGAGGTCTGGTGATAACGATTTTGTTATATTGCTGTTGTATGTGGATGACATGTTGGTTGCAGGACCCAACAAAGATCATATTAAAGAATTGAAGGCACAACTGGCTAGGGAATTTGAAATGAAGGACTTGGGATCAGAAAACAAGATTCTAGGGATGCAAATTCACTGAGACAGAAGTAATAGGAAGATTTGGCTTTCACAAAAGAATTACTTGAAGAAAATCTTGTCACGATTTAGCATGCAAGATTGTAAGCCAATTTCTACCCCTCTTCCTATTAACTTCAAATTATCCTCCAGTATGAGTCCTAGCAGTGAAGAAGAGAGGATGAATATGTCTCGAGTACCGTATCCATCAGCAGTGGGAAGTTTAATGTTCGCTATGATATGCAC